TTTGTTCTAGGGGACAACAAAGGTAAGATCAATAAGACATGGTTGTTACTAAATCAATTCACCCATTTTCTTTAATTCAGGATTCTAGCTGCATACTCCATTCACAAATCTGTGCTTGTACACAAGTCCTTTGTTGGAAGGAGAGATTAGCAAAAAAAAAAAAAAAAAAAAATAGGTGGGAGGACCCACAATGAGATAGCAACCCAGGTTCCTAACAATGGACTCCTCTTAGCTAACACTGTGGCCCCCAGTAAGCTCGATTCTCTGAGTCTGCTTGTTGTTTGAGATATGCCAGCAAGTCAATAAGACTAAACTGCCTTCATGGGGACAGAAACAACCTTCCAAGTTACCTTTCAGAGACGCTTGAGAAAAGAATGTGCCAGTGGAGGATGCAGCTGAGAAGAATAAACATTTCAGGAGACCTGAAGCAACAGTGGGTGTGCACCTGTGACGCCTCCCCCCGCCAGCTGCAGGGTCTCCATCCCAACTTCCTATTGAAAATAATATGAAAGGTCCGGCTAGTTCCATGAATGTAACAGTGCCTTCAGCTGAATGATAGCTGTGCTGAATTTAGAGCAGGTTTCCTCCAAGTACGGAATTTCTCAAGGGCAAGGTATCTGGATTGGAAAGGATCCTATTTTACCTCCCCTAGCCTTGCTCCAACAATTGTATTTCCCTGTTTCAAACTCAGCCATTTTTCAAGTCTCACTACCATGTACTTTACTAAAATAAGTAAGATCATATTTATTAGCTCAATAGAACCTAGTGTCTCTCAGAAATCCAAAATTCTGAAATTAAATCTACACAGCTCACTTGCTGTTTGGATACAGATGACTTCCAAATCAGATTCATTAGCTTTGTCACAAGAGCTGTAGTTGTTTTTGGTATCCTCATCCAAAAGCTTGAGTGAGTGGCGTCAGTCTCGTCCAAGTGTGGAGCATTGGACTTGTTTTTCAGTCAGGGGTGGGGCAACAAATGAGACAGGCTGTCAGTGGGATTCAAATTGAGTGCTGTGGACCCTCTGGAGCTGTGTTTTCAAATCTGTTTCCTTCAATTACATCTGTTTCATTTTTTCTTAGTTAATAAAAAACAGAGCTTTCAGGCTGATTATTTTTTTTGTCTATCTGGATCCTTTGTGGAAATGGGAAGTAAATCGTCAGCTTATACACAAGGTGGCACCCTGTGATTCCAACCAGGTCTGAGAGGAGAGATGCTGCTAAGAGACTGAGCCATAGCCACAAATTTTTATTTACCATCTGGTATTTCCACTGTGGCAAATGTAGAGGTAGATGTAGATGTTTGGCTTATCACCTCTCAGTGCAGTCTGTCCCTATGTCTCAAAGATTCCGAGCTGTCTCAGTAAAGGGTACTGGAACCACAGGACTGATTCCAGTCGATTGCTATGAATGCAGACCCCACATTCAGATTACATATGGAAAACAACGAAGCTTTATTGGTGCTAGGCTCATTCCTGGGAACACGGGGGGGAGGGGTGGAGATGGAGTTCACACAGCAACCCAATTAACTTTCAACTGGGTTTGCCGAAACCAGGAGCCAATTAAAAAGAATGTGACATTTACGAAAATCCGAAATAGTTGAATGGCAACTGTGTTTACTAGTTTTAAGATTCCTTTCAAAAAGTAATTTGTCTATTATCTGGAAGCTGTGTGCCTTGATTGTAGTACTGGGAAATGGAAACTGGAATATAATCCAATTTCTTACAGTTATTTGACATTTATTTTAATTTAGACTACATTTAGACTGGTTTTATTTTTGATGTAGCTTTAAAACTGGTTCTAATTCTTAGGTGCTTACATATTACACTTGTTGGGCTAAATGCATGTCATTTGGAATTGGTCCAGAGCATATGTGAGGTGGACTGATTTTAGAATGACTTTACTCAGTGCATTGTACATGGAAATTAAAATAGGATATTAGGCTGCTCAGTCATTTGAAGCAGGTCTTGATAAAGAATTTTTTTTAAAATTTTTATTTTTTGACACAGAGTCTTGCTCTGTCGCCCCAAGTAGTGTGGAGTGCAGTGGTGGAGAGTAGTGGCATTATCATAGCTCACTGCAATCTCAAACTGCTGAACTCAAATGATCCTCTTGCCTCAGCCTCCCAAGTAGCTAGGACTATAGGCGCATGCCACGATGCCAGCTAATTTTTCTATTTTTAGTAGAGTGTTAATTGGTTCTAAAATTCCTATGCCCAAAGGTAGGAAGCTGGAGAACAGGCTAGGCCATGATAAGAGCAAATATTGGCAGCAATGGCCAGGTCAGGTGACAGGCCAGTAAGGTATGTGAACTCCAAGCTAGAGTTGAATGGGGTCAGTATCATTGAATTCCTTCATGGCATATCAGTCAATAAATATATCTTAGATGGCTGCTATATGTGAGGCATGAAACTGCGAATATAATGATTAATAGAGCAGATGTTGTTCCTGCCCGCCTTGGGACTAGTGTATCTTTAGGCTCTGGGTTATGCACTCTATTAGTCATTGGTTGGAAGGTCTGTCTCGGTAATTAACTTTGAATCAGTAACTTTAGAATGTTGAGTGGTCAATAAGCTGAAGAACTTGGATAACGGGGTAGCATCACTGAGAAAAACAAGAGTTTTAGAGTCAGGTTAGCTCTGGATTTGAACCCAGTTCTGCAAGTTATTAGAATTGAAACTTGGCTAATTATCTGAGGCTCTGCTTCCTTATTGGTAAAATTATATTTTTTTCATAGGATTATAAGAATTACGTGGAATTCAACTAATTCAGCTATACCACTATAATGGCTGGTATAGTATAGATACTCGGTATTTCCTTTCCTGAGAAAGATTAACAATAAATATATGGACTAGAAGAAAGCTATCCTTTCTGAATCTGAGAATTACTGGGCATCCAGATTAGAGCCCAGGATGACTCATTTCTTTTTTTTCCTACTTTCAGGCTTGAACCCAGCACTGACTACCTCCCAAGAACTCCTTATTCTTCCTTGCTGAGGACTGGAACTGTTCCAGAGGGCAGCACTCAAGGCAGGAAGTACCCTTAAGTTTGAGGAAGGTACTGCTTATAGAAAGTGAGTCACAGCATCTTCATTGTTTCTAACAACAAAGTGGATGGAAAACACTCAAGCCCTACTAAACAATGCTCCAAGTCTTGCTGGGACAAACTGGTTGGACTATCTAGACAACTATCACGAAGTCCAAATCCACCATTCTTCCTTTGAAGGAGGAGGTGATGGAAAGAAAAGAGGAAGAGGAGGAAAAAGGGGGAGGAGAGGAAGTGGAGGAAAAGGAGGTAATAGAGGAAGAGATATGGTTTTGATTCATACAGAAATGACAGTAGGAATAAATTTTTTCACTGTTAGACTTTAGCAAACCATCTACCTTTCTCTGAGGCAGGCAGAATATTTATCAATTATTAGAAAACGGTAAAATGTGTTACATTCTTTGTAGGGATTTTGTAAGAAATCTGTAATGCTTAAAGACTAACCAGGAAACTCTTGGATAAACAAGGTTGATGTCAACAATAGCTGGTACTTATCTGAGTTAATTTGATTTTCCCTCCTCTTTAGAACTTTCTCTAACCAGTTAAGGATAAAGTGATGTCTCCCTTCTTTGAATTCTCACAGCAATAATTGCCTGTAGAACTCATTTGGTAATTAATCATGCACTACTTACTGCCTGTGTCATCTCCTATATTGTGTCATTCAAGTATTTATGCTTTTGGGGGGTTGTCATTTATCTTTTCAGCTGCCTTTTTCTTCAACTATTTTCATCTCTCGCTGCTGTTCTTTCCAACCATCCAGGTAGCCCATTAACGTGAAATCTCCATGAGGACAAGAACTTTTTCGCAGACTTCTTTCCGTCTTCCACAGCACCCAACATTTTACTACTATCCTGCTACTTAGGAATGTGTGCTGCCTTGGTTAAATTTTATAATTTGAACTTTTAAGAACTCTGGTATTTTTGAAATCAGAGAAATATCTACCATCTACCAACAAACTCTATCGAAGTTTGGGTGACAGGTTCAAGTTCACTTGTTGCATCCATCAGCCTCAAACCACTAACCCTCACTGCCGCCATCCTCCCGTGAAGGCGAGGATGAGCGAGGATGCTTTACCTTGGAGAGCTCTTTCGGACAGGTACTTAAGAGAGAATGCGGGCAAGAGGGCTGGGCCCGCCTGAGCGTTTTCGGGGCGGGCGAGACCCGGGAGGGCTGCGTCTCTCCGCGTGGGCAGACGGAAGGGACCTTTCGCACCTCCGGGACGTGGGAAGCGGAGGATGCGAATTAGCCTGCGCTCGGGGCGCCTTGGAGATAAGCGCTTTATAAGTACAGGCTTGGGTGGTGTCCGCTGGGGCCCTGGTCAACATCTTCCCTTCCCGTTCATTGACTGCTGCACACACGCGCTGCTCGGCGCGGCCGTCTTTTGCCCGGCGCCTTCCTCCGGGGCAGCCCGCGAGCGGTGACTGGGCAGCGGAGGCAGAGGCGCACACTCCCGGGCGCGGGTAAATTTGCGCACCTGGCACCTGCCACATGGCGAGGGCGCTGGCCAGCGAGCGGAGGGGCGCCGCCGCCGTCGCCCTGTCTCCCCCGAGCGGCCCGAGGCCGAGCACGCTCCCGCGGGCCGGCAGCGCCGCGGAGAGAGTGGGTGGGCAGGCGAGGGAGGGGAAGGGAGAGGAAGGAGGGAGGGAGGGAGAGGGCGAGGCGCGTCCCCGCGGCGGGGGCGCGCTCTCGCGCGGGCTGCCGGGATCGCTCGCCGCCGCTGTGGTAATGTCCGCCATGTTGGCCATGGCGCAGGGAGCGGATCGGGCGGGCGAGCGGCGGATCTAGTGTGTGGAAGCGGCCGCGGGCGGCGGGGGGCTGTTTTCGGGCGGGGTGGGCGCCCATGCTGTGGCCGGGGGCAGTGAGGAGGAGGAGGAGCGGGCCGGCCGCGCTGCACTGAGGAAGGAGGTGGAGGAGGCGGCGGGAGTCCTCCCCCCCTCCCCGCCCGCCCCGCCGCCGCCGCCCGGGCTGTTCCTGTAAGGCGGGGAGACAATGAGTAAACTCTCCTTCCGAGCGCGGGCGCTGGACGCCGCCAAACCGCTGCCCATCTACCGCGGCAAGGACATGCCTGATCTCAACGACTGCGTCTCCATCAACCGGGCCGTGCCCCAGATGCCCACCGGGATGGAGAAGGAGGAGGAATCGGTAGGGACTCGAGTGTTTATTACCCCCCCTTCCCTCCTCCCCCCTCCCCTTTGTCAGTCGGGCCTCGCCATTCACAGAGCGCTTTACGCTCGCTGGAGGGCGCCGCTGCCGCTCCAACGCATGGGACTCTACGCCGGCGGAGTAGCGTAAGCTCTCTCGGCCGGCGTAGCGCCCGCCCGCGGCCGCCATGTTGTTGCGTCCCAGTGTTGTGATTAGCTCGCAGCGCTGCTTACGCTGCCGTAAGGGGGCCTTGCCGTAAGCGGCGGCCGGGAATGGCGCAGGGGATGTGCTGCCCGCACTTGGCGTATGGCCTCTGTTTACCTTTTTTCCACCTCTCCTCCTTGGCACGGGATTAATTGATGGCGAGGGACTCGTTGGCTAGTAAAGATCACTCCCACTTTTAAATTTGGTTTTGCATTGGGTTTTCTTTGAAATGACTATGGAAAGTAGAGCACTTTCAAAACAAACATCTTCCTCCTAGCAAGGGAATCATTCTCGCTCCCCCGCTCGAGATGGTGCAGCGGGATGAGGCGGTGCAGCACTGCGGCGGGGGAGGGCGGGGGCCGTGACTACCGAGCGGGACGTAGCGTTAGAGATCCGTCTACTGTCCGCTCAGCTGCCGCCAGCCGGGCGCCGGGCGCGGGGCGGGCGGGCTCTACCGACCTCACCGGGACGGCCCCCGCTCAGTGCGCAGCATTAGAAAGGACCCGGAGATGCTCCGGAGCGACCCGCCGGGGCTGCGCTGTCACCGGGCCGGGTCCTCGAGAATTGTCATGGGAGGGTGGTCCTTAGAAGTTGAGGATCTAGTGCATCTAAATTGATAATTGTATTTTTGATAATACAGTGCCTTTGGGCAAAAATGCTGCTTCCCACCCCACCCCCTATGGGTTAAATTTTGCATATGGTCGAATTTCATCTGGCTTGATAGAGAGTGTTTATGACTCTGGAGTGGTGTTACTTGCATGCGAAGTTCATAGTAACTGCACCCTCAAGAATTTCTTCAATGAACCTACGGTCCCGCCTTATTGTCAACCTCGGGTGTGTGTGGATTGGTTCTCTTGCTTCTGTGGCTGTCAAAAGAAAGCTCGAGGTTTCCGTGATTGGCTTTCTCTTTTGACTATTAATATTGCAGGAAATGCCTTTGATTGGCTGGTCGAGTTCTGACCTCATTATGTCACCCTGTCATTACTACTTTCTGCTGTGATTTAATCACATTTCTCTTTGGTGTTTGATTACTTGAAAGTTTTATATTTTCAATAGAAAATGAGTATGGCCGTAGCATCAGGATGAACATTCAATTTTTTAAAATATGTGTAAGATCAAAACCCAACATTTTTGCCTAAGGTTTAGAGCTGACTCATGTGAGCATTCTTTTTGTTTTTCGTTTTTTTTTTTTTAAATAAAATTTGTTCCTAACTTGGCTCAGTTTTCTATGGGAAGGATAGTTAAGGAAGTTACAGTGTGTACAAAAATTAATTGCACTGAACTTTAAAAAGCACGACTTTGGAAATTTCTGTTACAGATTTATTGTATGTAATTACTTAGATCCTGTTATTTTAGAACTTGTCAGGAAATCTGTTCTAGAATGAACGGTTAACCCCTGGAAGATATATATGCAATCAGTCCTTAGTTTGCAACATATATTTTGGTATTTTGTCTTGATTTAGGAAGAAATTGCACATTAGTTTTTTCTTCATGTTGTAGTAAAAATAGGTGCTTGACCCCTGTCACAATGTTGTACTTTTTCAGTAACGCTTGTGATTTTCAGTCTAGAGTATACATAAGTGCTAAACTTGGGTTCTTTTCAGTAACCTGCTTCAACTGCCCCAGTTTTAAGGAAGAGGAAATCCAAATTCTGATAGAACTAGAGTTGAAACCCAGAACTTCTGAGTTTGTCCTGTCCTTTCTGCCTCTTTAATGTTAAAAGTGGAGGTTCTTAAAATCAAAACAAAACTAAACAAACCCTAACAATTAAGATTGAGTCTAAAGTCTTTTACTTCCCAGAATGTCCAATTGGGGTGTTAGATTTTCTTTTTTTAAATTAACATATACAAGTATATCAGAACACTTGTGCTTTCTTGAGTGACAGCCAGTTCAGTTCTTCCAGTCTTATTTGTAGGACTTCTGCTATTGAGCAGAATTATGTATTTTAAGAAAAGATTCTGCCTTGATAGTTTCTAAGCAGCAGTAAAATAGCATAAATTTCATGAATGTTTTGTGTTTGACTTGAATTGTATTTTAATTTAACGTCTAATATCTAGATGTCCTAATTAGGTATCTTTATTATAAGTTTTTTTAAAATCACATAGGCTTCTTAAAAAAAAAAACAAAACAATCTTGGCTTATGGATTTATGAAGCCTTCATGGATGGCTCTCCCTGACTCCCTATCCACCCTTACCAACTCCTCCTCCCCCAATAAAATTAAGATCTGTCTCCTCTGTGTACCTATTGGACTATCCTTAGACTTTATGTCATTGACTCAGTTCTGAGTTACATTCTGACAATGCCTAGATGAGGTGATCTAGGTGTTCTTTGGTATTGGTGACACTCTGTTGTTGATGACTGTATTATTCTCAGCCTTTTCGATTGTTTTGGACATGCTATCATTTTTTACTTCCTTTTTCCTTCTTCCTTATTTTCGTTTTCTTTTGCCTAAGGTCTGCCACTTGGCATTCTCCTTTAATTTGGTCTCTCTAGTGCTCATGGCACTTGGTCTAGGTCGGATACTGTAAACTTATGTTTATTTAGAATCTAAACCAGGAAAATCAGATGATCAGTGATTCTGCCACCTCCCCATGGGTGTTGTATAGTGGTAGTTGATGTTTTTAATAACATTTATCATTTATTGAATACTTATGTCCCAGATACTGTGTTAAGGACTTTACATATATAGTTCATTTAATCCTTTTCTAAAATCAGCTTTTTTGAGGTATAATTTACATACAATAAAACGTACCTTATTTATAGTATAGAGTTTGATAAATTTTGACAGATGGATAACCCATGAAAACAAGATATAGAACATTTCCAGCATCAGAGAATGTTCCCTTGTGCTCCTTTGCAGTCATTCCCTCCCTACCCCTAGTTGCAAGCAACTGCTGATTTGTTTTCTTCCATTCTAGATTAGTTTTGTCTTTTGTAGAACTTCATATAAATGGAGGCAGACATACTTTTTTGCATCTAGCTTCTTTTGCTCAGCACTATGCATTTAAGATTCATCCCTGTGTTATATCAGTCTGTTCCTTTTTATTGCTGAGTAGTATTCCAATGAATTGATATACTTTATCCATCTATCTGTTTGATATTTGAGTTGTTTCCAGTATTTGGTTATCATTTAATCCTGGTAAAAGCCATATAAGGTATTACCGTTTCTTTTTTATAGATGAAAAAACTTAAAGGTCTTACTGCTAGTAAATGGGCAAGGCTAGAATTCAGACCCTTGCCTTTAATGTCACGAAGACTTGTGCTGTGTATTTAGCGTACTTACATAACCTGAAATTAACATCATTACTATTAAGTTCATTATAGTTTTTGTATACTTGTTATAACAACTTATAACAACTTCGGGAAATTTAAAAGATGATGTTGATTTGGTCAGACTTAAATATTAAGTATAATTTTTTTACCACTTAATCTGACTTTTGCACTTAGCTTTACAGATTTTTTTTTTTTTTTTTTTTTTTTTTAGCAGTCCATTAACTTTGCTTCTCCTTGTATTGGCATCATTATATTTATCTGAGTGTATATGTTGTTTTAAGCATACAAGAAATTTGTGGGAAACTATGCTATTTTATTATTTAGATTTTTCTCTTGGCAGAATATAATCTCTGTAAGGGCAAAGATCTTTGCTTATTTTGTTCATTGATATATTCCAAGTGCCTGAGACTGTGCCTGACATGTAATATATGCTTGAAGGATGTTTGTTGAGTGTTGAATGATCTTCTGTTTCTTTTTCTATACCAGAAACTATATTTTTGTGTTTTCTCCCTCCTTCCCCCATATGTATATGTATGTATGTATATAAAAGATTTCATTAACAGAATTTGATAAGTTCTTCCAGGAATTCTCTTTGGTTGCTTATTTTGGTGCTGTGTATACCTAAATATTAAATCTAGTTTTCCTGTTGAGTCAGAGGCCTCTTTAAAAATAATTTTTTTATACATAGGGTATGGTTGCAGTGTTAGTCTTTTATCTTGTGTTAATTAACTCTCTCATAGGCATATACAGATTTGTGTGAGATATTTCTTTGTACCAGAATGAGCCAAAGTCTCCATGAATCATGTGATTCACCTTATTTTTTTAAAGAAAAAGATCATGACTGATTTGAATTGCCATTTCTTCCCTCATGTGCTGCCTAATTTTTGCCATTATCTTAATATTTTAAGTGATATTTTGAATGATAGGGTAGGAATATGTTCATTCTTAATACCTTTGCAAAATTACTTTTGACACTGAGATATTTAATGTTTCATAATAGGTTCTCAAGAGGATATAAAATGTTCTATAAATTGATACTTTAAAATCAGTTTTGTAAATTGATACTTTAAAATCATGAAGCATGTCTTTCAACAAAAGTAAACGATGTACCAGCTATTATTGAAATGCCAGGTGTTATCTAAATAAGATACAGGAAGACTGTTTAAAGTGGTCTGTATATCAAAAGTATAAACCTTTTTGCTAAAGTGTTAGGATTAAAAGAAGATACAGACCTTGATTTCATGGAACTTAAATGAGTCATTGAGGTCAAAAACATATGTCTGGAAAGTTAGCAAAAACTACAGACTTAAGTCAACCTGATAGACATCAAAAGAGCATTAGAAAAAGTTAAATGTCAGTGTAGTTGAGAGGAGTGAGAGAAAACTGCAATGTTATAGAGAAGGCTTCTTGGGAATAGGTATAACAGTTTGGGCTTTCAGGTTTTGTTTTAGGTTGTCTGTTGAAGTAAATACTTGAACACAGGAATATTTAAACCAAGTTCTGTGGATGTTAAGTAGACTAA